ACTCCACCATTAGCCTACTGCCAGAGGAATGTGGAACTGTGGTTCATGGTAGAGGACCAATGCTTCAGGCTCATGGGAGGGGACCACAATTCTAGCTCACAGGAAGGGCCATAGTTCACGTTCACCGAAGGAGACCACACCTATAACTAATGGTTGGGAGGTTGGGGGCGACAGGGAGCACCACTCCAACTCCCATGAGGGGCCATAGCTCCAGCTCATGGGAGGAGTCCACAGCTTCAGTTCACAAGAGGGAACCACTACTCCAGTGCCACAGCTCAGGGGGTTGAGGTGGGGGGGTGGAAGTGTGTAGGAGGGGACCACAATTCTAGCTCACAGGAGTGGACCTCTGCTCCAGCTCACAGAAGAGGAACATAGCTCCAGCTCACAGGAGGGAACCACAGCTCCAAATTCATGGGAAGGGACCTCAGCTTCAGCTTCATGGGAGGGAACCATGACTCCAGGTTCATAGGAGGGGGACCTCAGCTCCATTTCATGATGGGGGGGGTGTGGCAGCATAGCTCCAGCTCACAGGAGGGATTTACAACTCTGGTTCACAGGAAGGGACCACCTAAAAACTTTTTATAGGAAATTATTCAAAGTATGTTTTTCGCTAAAACTGGTTATGTAACAGATTATATCACTGCTTACTTTTGGGGTTCTCCAGACATCTAGTGTCACTTTATGCTGAGCCATAGCCATCCAGAGGTCTATCATTAGCCATTTTGACCCATGCTGGAACCATAACGGCACTATAGTGTCTAAATATAAACAGGTCCTCATAGCCTTGATTCCCTTCAGATGCACAGAACATTGGTGTGGGAAAAAAATTGTTTTCTGATTTCTTATTACTAATAAATGCTTAAATAAAGTCAACATGAGGCCTTTCTGTTTTACCTCTCTTTCTCTGAGACAGGGTCTCAGCCTTTTAGCCTAGGGTAGCCTGGAATCCACTGTGTATCCCTGACTGGCCTCAAACTCACAGTAATCCTACCTCAGTCTCCCAAGGACTGGGATTATAGCTGTGAGTCATTACCCTGGTCCGCAGCCACTTTTCAAACTCCAAAATGTATTGATTAATACTCAAAGTAAAATGATCCAACCATAGAATGAGAAATCATGATGTTGGATTGTGTGCATTTACTTTCAGTATGCTATAAATGTTTGTGTATGAGGAAAGGCACCAATTTTGAATTGTTTCATTTTTGAATCTGTAAATCAAATGCGTGCATTGATCCAGACATGATAGTTTAATTTAGTTTAATGTCTTGGGGATCTTTCCATGAAAGCCTACTTAACTTGGCAGCCAACCTAATCATGATGTTGAAAAGTTAAGGTTTCTAACGTCATCCCCCACGTCCCTAAGTCTCCTCATTGGATATCACCAAATTCTATCTAGTGAAGTGGCAGTTGTAACTTCAAATCTCTCTGAGTTTTAGTTCTCTGTGAGGAGGCTTTCATGTGGTTGTGCACCACGACTGTTCTCTCCACTGGGAATGGCCCATCACTATCTTCACCACCATTCTGCTGCCAGACTTTTCATGGTGACTTTTTAAAATGTATTTATTTGTATATTTATGTGTCTGAGTGCATATATGTAAGTGTACCCATGTAGGGCAATGCCCCCAGAGGCCAGAAGCAGGTGTCAGATTCCATTGAACTGGAGTTACCAAGAGTTGTTGGGTGTCATGTGGGTGCTGGGAACCAAACCCAGGTCATCTGCAAGAGCAGCCAGTGCTCTTAACCACTGAGCCATCTCTCCAGCCACCGAAATGACTCTTCAAAGTGAAAACTTTATTTATTTATTTATTTAAGTTTATTTAGTATGTTAGTGGTTTGTGTGATGTGTGCCTGTGATGTATACATACATGTGTGTACAAGTACACATGCCTGTTCACATGCCCGGAGGCCAGAGGAGACCGTGTGGTTTGCTCTATCACTCTCCACCTTACTCCTTTGAGGCAGGGTCTCTTCCTGGACCTGGAGCTTCAGTTTTTCAGCAGGTTGTCAGCCAGCAAGCCCCGGGAATCCTCCTGTCTCTGCTCTCCTCAGTGCTGGGGTTGCAGGGTGTGTGGGACTTCACCCACAGTTTACAAGGATGCTGTGATCCACGCTCAGAGCTTCATGCTTGAACAAGTACTTTTACTGACAGAGCCATCTTCCAGCCATCATAGTGACTAAAAGTGACTTCATAGTGTTTTACATCAGAACTTAGCTAGAAACTTACACCTTCACTTTCTCTTTATTTACTGTTGTATGGATTTACCTCATCATGTATAAATAGATGCTGAGCCAAGCATGGTGGCACATGCCTTTAGTCCCAGGACTCGGGAGGTAGAGGCAGATGGCTCACTGTGAGTTCAAAGCCAGCCTGGTCTACATAGATAGTTCCAGGCCAGCTGGGGCTACAGGGAGACCCTATCTCAAAAACAAAAACAAAAAACAAAACAAAACAAAACAAAAAAAAACACGGAGGCTGACAGACTGAAGGAAGGTGGGGTAAAGAACCTGAATTAGTTACAGGAGTTTTCAATCAGGAAGACAGACAGATGGAGAGAGAGAGAGCTAGAGATAGCGCCCATTCCCACCTTACCAAGGGAGAACGTGCGCAGCAACTTAGGCATCAATTCTAATCTCTATGGCCTGGATATGCTGAGCTGAGCTGGCAGGGAGCTGATGGCCAAGGTTCAGTCCATGTGTTATTTGTCCATGTGTGAATATATTTTGAGAAAATCCAGGATGTATATCAAGATTTAAAAGTTCTACTATGAGGTCTATGTAGTGAAACTCAGGCCAGCCTTGGTTAAATAGACAGTCTCAAAACACTGTTCTTTCACTAATATGTTAATGATAAGCACTTTAATGAACAAGTCCCTGCAAGAATTCTAACATGAAGGGCTAAGAGATGTGTCAGTGGGTAAAGTGTCACACAAGTATGCCTCTCTTTTAGTCACTTTCTTGGGCTCAGATGTGGTTCCATGGGTTCAGTGCTTCAGGATCTAATTTAACAGCCCTGTTGTCTGAAAACTCCAAATTCTGAGGAAGAAGACAGTTATCTACAAATAGTCTTGGCTCTGGCTAGTGATTCAGATCACAGTGTAGAAAAGATGGTGCTCCTGAGAACCAGAGCTTTGGGTCTTCTGGAGGCTGTGACATCAGCACAGAGCCTCACAGAGGAACCCAGACTTAGTTCAGGCTTCTAGAACAGAGTCTGGGAAACCGGGTGCTCACAGACAATAGGAATTTCTTTCTCCTGGTTCTGGAGGCCAGAAACCTGAGATAGTGGTGTCGGCATGGATTCTGGGTTGCAGACTGCTGGCATCTTGTGTCTTCACATGGTAGAAAGAAGAGAGAGCTCTCGGGGTTTCATGTATGAACTTGTTGTGGAGAGCAACTTATGACCCAATGACCTTGACATCCAAACAAGATACACTTAGAATTTCTCCTCTCTCTCTCTCTCTCTCTCTCTCTCTCTCTCTCTCTCTCTCTCCACCCTGAGTTCTTTATTATCATCTTTATTACATCTATTTATTTTGGGGAGGCAAATGATAGTATACACACTATTCTGCATGGGTGGAGTTCCAACAACTTGTAGGAGTCAGTTTTCTTCTACTATGTGGGTTCCAATGATCAACTCTGGTTGTTAGGTTCAACAGCAGACACCTTTACATTGAGCCATCTTGCTATTCCCTGTTTTTAAAATCACGGGTTTATAATTGGTTCTGGTTGCTCATGCCTATAATGCCAGCACTCAGGAGGCTGAGGGTAGGGGTACTGAAAGTTTGAAGCTAACCTAGGCTACATAGTGAGTGCCAGGCCAGCCTGAGCTATATATAGTGTGAGTCTCTGTTTAAAAAAAAAAAGAATCAAATACAAAAAAATCAAAAGCAAAAATCAGGCATAGTGGGTGTCACAAGATTGTCATCATAGTAGTCACGTAGCAAGTGGGAACAGGATGAACAAGACTTCAAGGCCAGACTCAGCTACATAGAAAATTTGAGGCCAGCCTGGGATGAACAAGACCCTGCCTCAAAAAACAAACAACATTGAATTTCAGGAACCCCAACATTAATTTCATGACACTCAGTACAAAGTACTGAAATGAACTGTCATGGGAGATTTGTAACTATAGGAAACCACCATATCAGTAACAGAGCAGTGACTGTAACAACTATAACAACTATAGCAACTATAACAAGGCCTGCTCCCTTAGCATAGACCTCTACAAAGATGTTTGTCAGATCATCTGTGTGTATGGGGGGTGCAATTTATGTGCAAGTGCCTGTATGTGCAGGCATGTGGAAAAATGTGTTGTGTGCATGTGCAGAGGTCAGGGGTGGATAGATGTCAGGAATCTTCCTCCATGGATTTCTGTCTTCTTTTTGGGAATCTGAACTCAGGTCCACAACTTGCATGGCAGGTATTTTACAAACAGAGCCATCTCCCCAGCCCAGTCAGGTCATTCCCTCCTTTCTACTCAAAAGCTAAATGCATAAATGGAAACCCAGAAGCTGTGTTGTCACTGAGACAGGCCCCCTGAGCCAATTCAGTTCAAAGTGGACATGTCACTGTGGCAAGCAGATTCCCCACACCAGGAATCTGGAGCAACTTAATGGCTTCACATGAGCAATAGCACCTGGAGAAGATGAGTGCGTTACTTGATATTTTCTAGAAAGTTCTGACACATACATCAGTCACTGGGGCTGCCTCAGGTCATGTACTTCCTGTTCCCAGTACCAGGAAGGTGCTGTTGGGCTCATCTCCCTGATGAACAGCACTGTGGAGTGAGTTTAGGTGGGGCAGCCTCAGCTGTGTGCATCTGGCCCAGGGATGAGGCAAGTGGAGGTCAGGCTACTAGTCTGCCCACCTGAGGCTTGTTTCAATCAGAGCCTGATGGGCTGAGGGTGGAAATCCCCCCAAACGCTGCCCTCATTGGCCAGGCCTTTAAATTCACAGCAAGCTGGAGGAGAGAAAGGAGACTGAACATGGCTCAGCCAGGTGAGATGGAGATCCATTTGCCTGCAGAGCCCCTGGCAGAAATCTTCAGCTATCTGGACGGCTTCAGCTTGCTCCAGGCTGCCCAAGTGAACAAGGTAAAGATTCTCACTGTCCCCTGCTGTCTAATTGACCAGCTTCTTGCCTTGCACTCCCCACTTGTATGTTCCTGCCTGAGGCCCCCTCTGGCCTTTCACCCTCAGCTGTGGAGTCTCGGCTCCCCCAGCCTCACACCACACAGCCTTCCTTCAACCCTGCCTACATTTACCTTAGAGCTTTCCATCCAGTGCAGACACACTAGCGTCCCTGGGCTCCAGTGGCTTTTCTTGACCAATAAGCATCTCTGGGCCAGAATCACTTTTCTTGACCAAGGGGAACACCAATCTGCAGAGTAGCACAGTGATACATGAGGATACGGGTTAGCACCACACACTATGAGGGCATCAAATTCTGTGAAATGAGCGGAGTGTGGTAGTGCATGACTGTAATCAAAGCACTTTGGGGGTAGAAGCAAGAGGATCAGGACTTAAAGGTCAAACTCAATTACATGGCCAGGTTGAGGCTAGCCTGTGCTACATGAGACCCTATCTCAAAACCATAAAAATAAACCCCCAAAAATCTGTTAAATAAAACGACAAGCTGATAGATGCAAGTTGTGTTGCCCAAATTCTCCTCGAGGCTCCCATTTCAAGCCTTTGGAAACCAGCCCTCCTTTCTCTGAGCTCTCACAGGATGACAGCTTCCCTGCATCAGCAGGAATAGGTCTCTCAGGCGAGCTGGGGTTGTGCTTGATGAACCTGTGGGTCCAGCCCAGAACAAATGAGAGCAGGGAGAAGCCCGTTTTGAGTATTGCTTGCTGGCTTGACTCCTTTCTCTCCCACAGAGCTGGAATGTGGTCGCAGACAGGGAGAGCCTGTGGAGGTAAGGAAAGGGGCAGGGTGAGGAGGGAAGGGCAGGGCGGGCCATCTCATTGTGCACCTGCACCTGTGGTGTGGGGGATGCACCCGGGAAGGTCCTCGTGAGGAAAGCTTCTTGCCAACACTGGCTGAGAGTGAACTGATGAGGGGGTGAACTGACTGGGGTCAGCCTGATGGGACTGTGACTCTTCTTGCAGGAGGCTGTGTCTGAGGAAATGGTGCTTCGGTGACGTCACCCGGGAACACCTGTGCACACAGCTGTGGCAACAGCTGGGTGCGCAGACCTGGAAACAGTTCTTCCGCCGCCGAACAAGACAAGAACGCTGCATGGAGTGGGCTCGGCCGGAAGACTTCATCTACAGAGAAATACCTGGAAGCTTTGGTATGGAGCTGGGGCCCCTGGAGGAGATACCTGCACTGGTTCCTCTTTGTAGGTAGTCCTGTGTTTTCATTTTATGAAGGGAGGGGTAATTAAAATTTCAAGGGTCTGGTTGCTGTGGCAGCCATGGAACCAGTCTTGATTCTCCTCTGTGGTCTACTGGATGGAGGAGCCAGACATGTCACTTCACAGCATAAAATCAGGCCTGCTACTCCCTTATCTGAAGGTTTTCCACCACCTCCTAGAATAAAAACATGGGGAAGTTTTTTTTTGGTCTTTTCAAGACAGGGTCTCCCTGTAGCCTCAGCTGGCCTGGAACTCACTATGTAGACTAGGCTGGCCTCTGCCTCCTTAGTGCTGGGATTAAAGGCATGTGCCACCACACCCAGCACATGGGGAAATTTTTTGTGGAAATTCCCAAGTACCATAGGCTCCACAATTCATTTTATCCAAACCTCTTTTAATGCTTGGGACAGTTTTCTAAAAGTTATAGACATGATCATCATTGTTATTAGTTTGTAGTGAGTGCCTACGTAGAGGCGCAAGCATGCTATAGCATGCATATGAGGGTCAGGAGACAACGTTGTAGAATTGGTTTCTCCTGATAAAGAGATTCTTATATCCTTTTGACATTTTTTTAAAGGCAGTGTATTGTGGGGCTGGAGAGATGGCTCAGGGGTTAAGAGCACTGACTGCTCTTGCAGAGGACCCAGGTTCGATTCCCAGCAGCCACATGGCAGCTACAAACCAACCTTAATTCCAGTTCCAGGGGAATCCAAAGCCCTCTTCTGACCTCGGTGGCATTGTACGGCATGGGTGCACTCACTTACATGCAGGCAATACACATAAAATAGAAAAATAATAAATATTTTTGAGAAGACAGGTTATTGTGTATCCCCAGAGCCTTTAACTCTCTATGTAGTATATTTAAGGGGTGTTAGGAATTAAATCTAGGGCCTTATGCTAGGCAAGCATTCTACCAACTGAGCTTTATCCCCAACTCTCTACATCCATTGTATAGCTATAGAAACAGATTAAAGGGGAAAAACAGTATCTGACCACATGGCCAAACTGTAGCTTGCTTGGCTGACTCTTTCTCCATCTATCCTGTCCACAGTGTCACCCAGAGTCTTTTTTGAGGGGACATGAAAGCTAAAACATCTTTTTATTTGGTTTGAATTATTCCTGAACTCTCTAGTGGCCAAGAATTGTTGGGGTTTCTTTACAGGAGACTTTAGAATTATAAAGTATCTCTCAGGAAGTAGCCTCACCATGGATGGACAAGGGAAGTCGATCCTCTGCACAGTGTCTGACGAGGGCACGCTTTCTACTTGGGATGTGCAAGAGGTGAGTACCGGAAATTCTAGGAACCTCTGTCCATCCTGTGAGACATGAAACAGCAGTGAGACGGAAAGGATGCTTGGGATCAGTAAAAGAAGCAAAGTTTCAAAACAGGTGAAACTGTCATTTGTGACTTTTCCATTTAGATCATAGACATGCAATAAACTTCTTTCAATATAGTTATTCAAAAGTAATTGTATAAATCCCAGGGATTTACTGTAATACTTTCATAAAGATATCCAGTTCTGTCCATTTTCTGCAAATGGCCTGCTTTCATTCTTAATGGCTGAATCACATTCCCCCATTGTGGATACACCATGTTTTCCTTATTCATTCAGCTGTTGATACCATACATTAGCTATTGTATATAAAGCCTGAATAAACATGAACATTCACCTAATTATTAAATATTGACCTCATTTCCTTAGCAAATATACCCAGGAAGTGGAGCTGGATATAAAATCGTTCTATTTTAGTTTTTTTGAGGCAGCTCCATAGTGATTTCCATAGTGACTATACCTGTTTATATTCCCTCTAAAATGTATAAGAGTCCCACACCACATCCTCAACCATATTTGGTTTAGTTTTTTGCTTTTTTAATTATAGACATTCTAGCCAAAGTGAGGTAGCATTTAATTGTCACATTGTTTTGAATTCCCTGATAGCTAATAATTTGAGCATGCTTTCACATATTAATTGACCATTAATATTTCTTATTTTTAGAAATATTCATTGAGGTCATTTGCCCTTTTTATATTTTTATTTAAATTTTATGAGTATCTTGCCTGTATGCATGTGAGTACACCCGAGTGTGCAATGCCCACAGAGGCCAGAAGAGTGTGTCAGATCCCCTAGGTCTAGAGTTATGGATGGTTGTTAGTTGGTATGTGGGTTCTGGGAACCAAACCCGGGTTCTCTGCAAGAGCAGTTAGTGCTCTTAACCACTGAACCATCTTCCCAGCCCCCATTTGTCCATTACTTGGTTTTTGTTTTGTTTCATTTTTGGGCGTTTTTTGTTTGTTTGTTTTCTTAATATTTTATTATTTTTATGTGTGTATTACCTGCACGTAGGTAAGTGCACCCATGTCATGCAGTGCCTGCGGAGGACAGAAGAGGCTGTTGGATCCCCTGGAACTGGAGTGACAGACAGTTGTTAGCTGCCATGTGGGTGCTGGGATTCAAACCCAGGTCTTCTACAAGAACAGCCAGTGTTCTTAACTGCTGAGACACCACTGAGCCATCTCTCTAGCCCTTTGTTTGTTTGGGTTTTTTTTGCTTTGTTTTTTTGGTTTGTTTTTTTTGTTTTTTTGGTCTTTTTTAAGATAGGGTCTTCCTGTAGCCCCAGCCGGCCTGAAACTCACTATGTAGACCAGGTTAGCTTCAAACTCACAAAGATCTGCCTGCTTCTGCCTCCCAAGTGCTGGGATTAAAGGCATGTGCCACAATACCCAGCTATAATATTTTGGTTTTTTTGAGACAGGCTCTCATGCCTCCCTGGCTGAGACTACACTTGATTTATAGCTGAGGGTGATCTTGAATTCCTGATCCTGCCCCCTCCACATCCCTAACACTTGGATAACAGTTGTTTTCTGAGTTCTTTTTATATTCTAGAATTAACCCTCAGTCAGGTAAAGAGTCAGCAAATATTCCTCCCATTTTATAAGTTCATCTCTCAGTTCTGTTCCTTGTTTCCCCTGCTATGCAGAACCTTTCAGTGTGATAGAATCCCCACTTGCCAGTTTTTGTTTTGCTTCTGTGCCTCTGGAGTCCTACCTGGAAAATCACTCCTGAGTCAGTGTCCTGCAGTGTTTCCCTTCCCCTACGTTTCCTCTATCCTTTCAGAGCCTCAGATCTTGCATTAAGGTCTATGATCTTTTTTACTTGATTTTTGTGTTGAGTGCGGAATTAAGAGTGAAGTTTCAGTCTTCCACACCTCGATATTCAGTTTTCCCAGTTCCATTTGTTAAGGAGGCTGCCCTTTCTGCAGTTTTTAACACTTTGTCAAGAATTATATAACTATAAATGCCTCGAGTTAATTCTGGATTTCCTATTACAACACAATGGAGCATGTTTCTGGTTTTATGCCAATGAAAACAGGAGGTATGACTTAAATCAGGTGTGATGCCTCCAGCTCTGCCCTTTTCACTCAACATTGCTTTGATTAAGAAGGGTCTTTTGTGTTTCTGAGGTATGATAATATTCCTGGACACGAACAAACCTATTTCAAGATAGGTAATTGATGACAGACCAAAGTAAGGACACCACCAAAGTCTACCTTGGCAAACAAATGAGTTTTTAATTAGGGTTACTTATAGGAATATGCATGAGGGGTTACTTACAGAAGCAGGGATGGCTCAAAAGCAGCTGAAGCACCTAAAGCCCATCCCACACAGGTGCCAACTCATGAAAGCTGGAAACTAGAGCTCCATGAGCAATTTGCAGGCAGCTCAAGAGTAGGAGGGCATTTCTTCCAGGCAGCTCTACTGGTCTGTTTTCCAGGCAGCTTGGCTGATCTCACAGTGTCTCTCAGCAGGACTTTCTGCTTATACATGCTTCAGAGAGGGATGTTGCCTACTGCATCTGGTCAGTTTCAGGGACTTCCTGAGGTTTCTGAGTTGTTTATTTCCTGAGTTTTAGGAGGCTTCTCTTGAGAACTCCATGAGTCTTAACACATCCCTGCAGGATGACATTTTCTCTTTAGAACATCCTGAAGTCTTAAATCTTCTTTCAAGATGGAATACTTTTTTTTCTTTTTTTGAGACCAGGTCTCCCTGTAGCCCCAGCTGTCCTGGAACTCACTATGTAGACCAGGCTGGCCTTGAACTCACAGAGATCCACCTGCCTCTGCCTCCCAAGTGCTGGGATTAAAGGCGCCACCACACCCGGCTAGGAATACTTTTTAACTTCAAGGAAATTACTACACAACAGTTTCCTTATGAATTTTAGGATTGCTTTTCTAGTTCCATGAAGAATGTCATTGGTATCTTGCTTGGGGTTGGAGTGAATCTGTAGACTTCTGGTAGTGTGAACTTTTGAACAATATAATAATGTTTTCAATCCATGCACATCTTCCAGTGATTTCTTCAGTTTCTTCAGTGTTTTCTCATTTTCATTTCAAAGTGGGGGGGCACATATGTGGTGTATGTGTATAGTGCATGCATGTGAGTGTACAGATTCTCATGGTCTAGATATAGAGAGGCCAGAGCACAAAGTAGGGTGTCTTCCTCTGCTGCTTCTGCCTTAGTGCTTTCAGACAGGGTCTCTCATTCAACTAAAAGCTTGCCTTTTCTGCTAAGCTGCCTGGCAACAAGTCCTTAAGATCTCCCTGTCTGTTGCCCTGGTGTTCTATTTAGAGGCTCATAGAGCTATGCCCTGCTTTTTTTTCTTTTTTTTGTCTTTTTTTTTGTGTGTCTTTTTGAGACAGGGTCTCCCTGTAGCCCCAGCTGTCTTGGAACTCACTATGTAGACCAGGCTGGCCTTGAACTCACAGAGATCCACCTGCCTCTGCCCTGCTTTTTATGTCGATGTTAAGAATTCAAACTCAGGTCTTCAGAGTTGCAGAGCCAGCACTTTTCCCACTAAGCCATACCCCATTGTAAAGGTCTTTCTCTTTAAACAACTCAAGTCCTAGAGTTTTTGTTGGAAGATTTTTTTGTGAGGAGGGTGTCTTGCTCTTATTAATTTTTAATGTATTTGATTATATTCACCCCATAACCCTTTTGTATGACTCCTCATTCTGGCTGATCCCCTTCCTCTACCCACCAGTCTCCCTTCCCCTGTTATGTCTTTTTCATATGTGGCTTTTAGCTTATATTACTTATACATAATTTGCTTAATTATATATCATATATAATTCATGTATGTCTTATCATTCACCCCTGCTAGCCTCCCTTGTCCCATTCCAATGCCATTTGTCTTTTTCTCCCTTTTTCACCTTTTGGTGGGGGGGCAAGGATTTCATTAGTGTTGTTTACAAGAGTGTAGGTTGGATTTTATTTAGAGGAGCACATGTGCCTTACCAATGGCTATGCCATTGTATTACAGGGTGTGGACAGGCAAGTCCTTTTTTCTGAGGGAGGGAGGGAGGGAGGGAGAGGGAGAGGGAGAGGGAGAAACTGACTCACTGTATAGTCCTGTCTCACTATATTGATCAGGTTGCCCTCGAACTCAGAGATCTGCCTCCTGAGTGCTTGGATTAAAGGCTTGTGCCACCACACCCAGTCACAGGCCCACTTGTGAGGCAATCCTGTACAGATTATCTCAACTGTTGTAAGTTCAACAGTGATAGCCATGTCTTGCCTAGGTGACAGTGTTCCACACCACCCCACTCTCACTGGCTCTTTCATTCTTTCCACCTCTTCTTCCTCAATGCTCCTGAGCCTTGAAGGAAGGGATGGTACAGATGTCCCACTTCCTTCTGTCATTCCACATTCTTTATGCTCTGTGTTTTGCCTGTTATAAAGCTCTGCAGTCTTTGGTGACCACTGCGGGGAAAAAA